ATTTGAAAAACTTATCTTATGAACGGGTCTCTGGTGTTTTAGCAAAATGGTTGCAAAAAGAAAACTAATAAAAAACTAGTAATACATAGACCTGTAACAGTTCCAGCTCATAAGTTCAGCTCATTTGAGCGAAAGAACTGTTGAACAGCTCTTTCGAAATTTTAAAAATTGAAATTTTTTGAAATTTTTCAACGACTACTGCTTTCACGCTGAAGCAAGAGCTTGCTCAACTCGAAGCACTGGAGAAGAACAGTCATACATTTGCGTCATTCTAGACGACTAGTGAGCTGCTCGAACATATCAGCTCCTTTCAAAAGAACTTTTCAACAGTTCCTATGATAGGAGTTGATATGGAACTGTCATACCCCTAGTAATACATATTGAGCATAGCAAACAATTTGGAAAAAAAGTCTCCTCTTCTTACTGCAGTGCAAGTGCATACACGAAGCAAAATACAAAAGTGAATGACCAATATAAGATAAAAAAATGTCTAGTATCAGACTAGAAAATAATCTAAGATAATCATGAGTGTCAATCATTATAACATTTGAAAAACTTACTGATCTTGTACGTTGTTTCATTGCTAACCAATTTAGATGAGATTTTATTCGACGTTTCTCAACATAACGCCGTAATTGTTTAAATGATTTATGCTTAAAAATTTTAAAAAAAAAGAGAATAAGAAAATTGTTAGAACATTCTATCGTATGCTCTTACTATTAATCGTCGTCGATAATACTGTTCAGCCATTTTCAACGTTTGTCTTTCTTCAGCTAATTCATCAAGATCTATTATATAAAAAATATAAGATTTATCCTATCATGCATGCATTTTATGAATTTAAATTTACATGTTTTCCAATTGTTGAATGCCCAACGTAATAAAATTTGTTTCTGTAATTCATTCAAACGTTGCTGATTTTGATTTATATTTAAACGGTGCGTATAACATTGTCGCCAATTTAAATAATATTTTTCAACAAGATGATGCTGATAATATTTATGTACACGATCTAAAAACGAGACCAAACAAATTGATTATATCTCTTTACTTAGCTAAAGAATAGAGTAGAAATGAAGAATTTTTACTTTTATGCATATTTTTTCGTTTTCTATAATCAGCGTATGATAGCCAGGCATGAAAACAAACACGTTGCAATTGTTGACGATAATGATGATCACTAAATAAATGTAACTGAAAATTTTTACGTTTTTGAGATGTTTGAGCTTGCCACAAATAATAGAACTAAATATAATACAATTAAATAGAAACATAAATTTGTGATTCTACGTACATACTCGAGAAAGAATGATACTTTTACAATATCGATCAGCGATTGATATATTTCGAGAATATACACGATGTTTGTCTAGTTGTATTTTCCATATTTTCCATGCATTCCTATCAAACACAAGTACACATTAAAGATATTTTTCTAAAAAATAGTCTTAAGCTCCAGGTGATTCCTCTGCTGTCTCGAAAAATTAGTTTTCATTTGCATATAAAAAACGTACTCTCAGTGTTTTTCGAAAGGACTGTTTTTTCAGACTACTGTAGCTTTTTTAATCGTTTTGAGCAGAAGACAGTTGAAAAGCAGTTGTTTTCGCAATTTTGTAATCAAGAGTTAGACATGTTGTTCATAATATCGCATAGCTCATTATCTAAGAACCAGACACAGATTGTTCTGAAGCGATAGTTACTTAGGACAAACTTTAAATGTGTACTGTCGCTTTAAGAAGTGTTATTGCTAATGTCATACAGTCATGATTGTATAAATGTTATAAATAAAATGGTATTAATAATGTGTAGCTAATTTCTTGTGTAATCAAGTCGATACCAAATAATAAAAAAAGTTGATACTTAAGAATAAATGAAAGTAATAAATAATCGTTTATTTAAAAGCTCAATCAAATTTGTTTTTGTCTAAATTTAAGATTAAGTGTTGAGCCGCATTAAAAAAAATCATTTTGCAACTTTAATAAAATCTTCCGAATTGTATCGTCGGAGTAACATCACAGATCCTAATATAATCAGATAATTTTTGTAGTTCATGTACGCAAGGAAAACAACTGTCCAGTCACTATACCATAACCCATAACCTTTATCAGATTGTCATTTAGATTAGGGCAGTTGACTATATTAAACCTGTACTCCTATCGTTTATCTTACAATTTTTTTTTAATTATCCCATTAACTATATTCCTTTTAAACTTGACCCGATTAATTGTTCGTGTTTTTCTGATTTAGATTGAACGATGCAGAATATATTACTTGTTAGTTGTGATTTAAATTTATCGACAGAGTTAATGATGATATTAGATTGTGGATGTACAAGACTGCATTATTGAACGATCGTTAAATACATATAAACCGAATACATCTTCCGCATATATTTTCGATAGACTTAAACATAGGGAAACAGCAGACTTAAGACCCAATTAGGAATTTTAAAAGCCCATCTAAACGCACATCATCGCGAAAAGTGCTGGACTTATGAGCTGGAACTGTTACAGGTCTATGTATTACTAGTTTTTTATTAGTTTTCTTTTTGCAACCATTTTGCTAAAACACCAGAGACCCGTTCATAAGATAAGTTTTTCAAATTGAATAGATATCTCTTCTCAAAAAGAGCATATTTTTAGAAAATTAGTGATATCATTCACTGAACTAACGATTGATAATATTTATTTTAAATTTTATTCTTTGTGACTTTTCTCGTCTAGCTTGAACGTGTTTATTACAATAAATGGAAATTTAGGCTTGAACAACGTGAAGATCTATTAAGACTAGGTGATTTTCGTAAAGCTGAAGCTTTTTATTCAATGAAAATTATTATTCGTCATTGGTTTTCGTGGCGTCAATACATAAGTTACTGTAAAAAAGAACAGGTTAATTGGTGTTGTTTCATTTGTTTGTAAATACCATCAAATTTTTTACTTTTAGTCTCGAATACAAGTGGCTATTAATTATCATAATTCAAAATTAATCAGAAGATATTTTACAATGTTACGTTCGAATATACACGAAGAAAGATACGAGCAATTACTTGACGCAAATGCTATTAATTTTTATAGGTATTTAAAATAAAATTTTGACCAAATCTAATTTTGACATGGTGCTCATATTTTTAGAACTCGTCGATTAAATTTATATTATCATCATTGGTCACAAATAACTCAAACACAGCAACAGTTTCAATTAAATTGGAGATTGGTATGTAAATTTGTATGATATTTGAGATTGTTTGAAATATTATCTGTGTAAATGTGTATCGATTATTTTACGCCTATACAGTGATAAAATCTTTGTCTGTTTCCTTTAGGCAATTATTCATCGAGAGAAAACAATACGTTTGAACTATTTTCGAACATGGTTGCATAAAGGGCAAATGAAATTAATTGAAAATGAACATAATGTATAATCTTTTTTTTCTGTAAATAATGAGGTATTCAAATTGTTGATTTATTTCAGATTATAGCTGAAAGATATTATTTTAAATGCCTTATTCGTTCTGCATGGATGAAATGGCGTGCTATAATCGAAGAAGTTCATAATGATCAACATTTAGAACAGATAGCACTTCAGTTTTATTACCATACACTTGAACGACGAGTATTAAGTTCATGGAAATTGGTAAGTGTTTTTAAAATACAATTCAACTAAAAAATAGATGTTTATCACTCATCCACATCATTTAGTATGTTATTCATTGTCACTATATGAAACAAAAATATGCACAAGCAAATCGGTTCTATCTCGAACATAAAGGGCGAGAAATTTATTATTATTGGAAACGGCTAACTCGTATACATAAAGAACGAATGTTGGTTGTTAACAAAAAATTTGAGCAATGTCAGCGAAATAATATTCGACGTGTGTTTCGTTTATGGAAGATGAATGTTGATGATGAACATTTTGAACGCGAACAAATAATTTTAACTGATAATCACTATAATCGATTATTACAACGAAAGGTGTATAATTTATTGAAAATAAATAAAAAATGACACTTTGCTCTCTACTTGAAGGTACTATTAGCATGGAATAGGAAAATTAATAATCAGAGTGTCAAAAATGCAGAAAATGAAGCGAAACTTTATGAACATATACGTCAGAAAAACTTACGTACGAAATCATTTATTCTATTAATTTGCTGAATAAAAGTTATTATTCGCTATTTTTCATTTTAGATCGAATGTATCAAGTTTATACCCATTGGAAACAATTACGCGACGAACATCTTCATGAAAAATTATTTTTGAGTCGAGCACAAACATATTATGAGAAGAAAACACTTGTACGATGTCTTCAGCAATGGAAAGAACAATATAATTCTGATATGCACCTAAAAGTAAGACCTATAGTCGCAGATGAAGCGCTATTATGATTCATTTTGTTTTGAGCTTAGTTGTTGGAACGTCGAGCTTTATGGTTCGATCGCATGCGTTTAAGCGGTCGATACTATTATCAATGGAAATATTTTTATGGCAATGAACAACAGTTGAAAGAGAAAAAACAGAATGCACTTTTATTCTGGTCCATTCAGCTACAGAAACAAGTATGAGTTTCATAGAATGCTTAACAATTGACTTTTGTTCGTTTTTGTATAGTTTTTTGTTCAATGGTTATTATATGTCAACGAACGTAAACGTAAGAAAGCTCGATATGCTGAAGCAACGCAAATTCGTCATGATGCTTTGATACGTGATTCACTAAGAAAATTTCTTGCTTATACCGATCATGCAAGACAACGACGGCAAGCCAGTTTTATTCATAAACAAGTTTTTGTGAGTAAAATTAGGGAGACCCTAGTAGAGTATTTTTGTAAAATATCAGCTGTTGGTTTAGCTTCATCATGATCGCAATGCGTTGGCATGGAAATATTATTGCAAGTGGAAGAATTACGTAGAAGATGCTTTAAAACGAAAACATATTACTCACTCATTGAATGTTATTCATACAAATAAACATCAGACAAAGCCATCAGCTAAAATAGCTGTAGCACTCGTTCGATTTGATAACAGTCCGCCGAAGTATGATTATCTATCCTAGTATGTTTCACAAAGTTTTTTTTACTTATGAATGTTCCATTACAGGATTGTCAATCGTCCTCGTCCACGGAAGCCGTCGTTTTTGTCAGAATCATTTCATACTGTAGAAACAACTACCGCCACTACTGATACATATGATCCGACAAAAATAACAGCAACAAGGTATATAAAGATTGCCGTTATAATATATAAACCGTATAATTTTTTTTTACATAATAGTCGAGGTAGTCTGCAATCACCATCACAAAATATTTTATTTGCATTGGCAACTACTAGTGATCAACAGCATACATCTCTTCCACATTCGATTCATTCACCATTTGTCAAATTTAAACAGTCTAAATCTGGCGAAACTAATAGTCCAATATCATCGTCTCGTTTATTAGATTTCGATCATCATCAACATCAATCGGCATCATCCGATATTCTTCTCCTTCCACCTTCTGCATTTGAACTAAATCATTCACATAATGATGACGAACCACCATTTTCTTCACGCACAGCAGCATCAACAAAAAAGTCGTTGCAACAACAGCAATTACATCGTCCCAGTTCTGTTCAACCGACAGCGAATAGTAAATACGAATTTGCAGGTTTTAAACATCGTAAAAAAACACCTGATATCACATTATCGTTTAAAACGAAAGAGAAAAAAAATCTTCTGCAAACTAAACACCGTCTTGAAAATTATATACGAAACAAAGAAAAACTGAAGTAAGTCAAATGTATAATAAATTTTAAAGTATAGTTAAACATCATTGACGTTATAGAGAAAAATGTCAACTTTTCAGTAAAGAAATCATTTTAGAGCGGGTTTCAAACAGCCGGTTGTAGTTATTCTCTTTTTAGACGATTAAAATTCCAGTTGACTAATTTACAAAGTGTATCAGATCAGAACAATACTCAAATTGTAAGTTCGACCAATATATAATGTCATTGGTTTGTTGTTCTCTTGTTTATTCTAGCTTGAGCAAGAACTTCGTCAACTGAGTGCACTTGTAATATATGAAAAATCTCAATTATCTAATGTGTTACAAAATGTTGATAGTCATATGACTTCAAATTAATATCTTTGATATGCAATTATGCTATTGTGTGTGTGTACGTGTTTTCTATTGTTAAGGTTTTTTGATAATTTTCTTCCTTTTTGTACATTTTGTAATTATTTGTCAGAGATAGATTTTTTACATTTATATTTATTAAAAAAGCACGAAATATAGAAATTAAACAAATTATCAATATTTATATAAGAACGTAAATTGTGAATTGACAAGGACAAGTACGAACTCACTTTCGAATCTAATTGTTAGTCAATGATGATATTAAGAAAATGTAATTTTGAGTATATAGACCAGATCAAAAGATGTTTAAGTAATGAAAATGATACGGAAGTCTCGGTTTACAGAAGTGAAAAACACACTACTGAAAAAATATGCCTCGACCAGAAATCGAATGTAGAACAGTGTTCTGTGCGCAGTCGAGACACATTTTTTCAGTTGTATGTTTTATGGAATTTCTCCTCTTGCTATTTTCTAAATAATGATTTACAAAAACACTTAAAAATTGTTAAAAGTGATAAATCGATGCTCGCTGTCACTTTTCGGGTAGAAAAATATCATTCTATCAAAAACGTTTGTTAAAGAAACCAAGCAACTTTAAAAATATTTACTATATGCCATCTTGTAGAGAAATGTTTGCTCAACAAAACTGCTGATTTCAGAAAATTCCACAGTTCGTTGTTGCGAAAATACAAACCATTTTTTGAAGAATATGAAAAAAACTGTCGCATGTCTAGTTCTAAGTGTAAGCAACGGGGCACACACTACAAAGAGTGTATCCATCGTATTTTTTCCCCTCACGCATTGTTTAAAAGTTTGTTCTCAGATTTGATAGTTTTATAACGTTTATAATTAGCCGATGGTCGGACTCATCTTTTGTTGAATATATATCTCCCTAGAAAAAAATAGTTGCAGTGTTTTTTTTTAATATATCACCAATATAAAAGTACATTTTAGCAAAATAATTATATTTTGATAGCCCCCCCCCTTACGAAAAATCATAGAACATATCGTATATACATCTTTTGAAAAGAAAACAACGAAAAAACAGTTACTCGATATTCTCACTCATATCTGTCTTGTACAACATTATTGTTTATACGTGCGCATGAAAACAACCTGAAACATCTGATTTGTCGAAATATTTGTCATCAAATAATAGCAAGTCAAGACCAGCGAAGTATAGCATGGTAGAGAATTTCAAATGCTATCAGAATATATAATTACTTTTGTAAAAAGTTATTTCTATATTCACGATAAATTTGAAAAAACGACTGAAAAAGGAATAAAAAAATTCAGTTTGTAGGAATCTGACGATGAGAATGCCTTCATTGTATTCGAAATATTTTTCAGCAAAATAGTTGAGTTGAAAGCTTCTATATTATTAACTAAAAATAATAAATTTAGTCGAGTTCTTCATACAGACATTATCTCATAATCTCTTTTTCTTTAGTTTTTTACCACCATACTGTTCATTCGTCTAAGTGCATTTATTTTCAGCCCATTATACAGTTCATTAGCTTTATATAACATAAAGTATGTCGATTGATTGACTGTTCTCATCTATAGTTAATTGAAAACGAGAGAATATATGTTTTGAGAGTCGTCTTTGTTGAACTAGATAGTTCTCGCAGGAGTAAGAATCTATTAGCAATACATGTATCAGTTAAAAATAGTTTTTCTGCATTCGAAAACACGATACAGTGTAAATAAAGTTATAAAAACCAGTTACAAACTATAGTTAACATTCAGTGTAGTACTAATATTCAAGCAGAGGTATCCACTATGATTTACAAATATTAAATCTGCATAAATATTCATCTAACATTGTTACAAATTCTGAAATTTTACGGTTGATGTTCATGGACCCATAAGATTTTTTTAAGTTCTTTTTGTAACGTTATGCTATTAATAGTGCATTGCTATTCAACGACAGCTGTAGATGGCTTGAAAGATCATTTAGGTATTCGTTTGTACTTCGAGTGTCACGCTATATTTATTACTCTGAAGCATTTCTGAAGGTCAGAATGGTATTTATGATCCGCAATAATCTGCCTGCCGTCTGCATTTTTTTGTTCTTTTTCTATTTTAGTCCTAGAATTTTATTAGTTTTTTTTATCTCGTTGTTTGGCATTTGTATCCTGCAGTCGTATTTGAATTAAAATAAAGAGAATTAGGATGAACATGAAGTAACATTGTGACAAACAGTAACTAAATATGAAACAGTTTGTACTTGGAACCTTCTCTTCACACCATCCGGTGGGCAAGAGATTAAGAAAGAAGAGTAAGTTTGACAAAAAAAAAAGGAGTTTATTATTTATTATATCTATATGAAGATGTCTCGATTATTGAACAAAAATGAATGAATTTCTTTCTTCTTTCAAAATTCTAAAATAATTAAGACAACCACCCTCGAGGTAAAACGATGTGAATGAAAGGATGAATGAGTTCCATCTACTTTAGAACAGAAAAAACAACAACTCTTTTTAAAGTCTAAACATGTTTTAATCTTTCCCTAGCTGACGAGTGAAAAAACAACAACCCATTAGCGTTCTTTTTGATTATTCTAAACACATTTACAATACTACCAAAATAATTTGATCTATGGAAAAAATAGTGTAATGGAAAACAACAGTGAAGGACATTTTTTGAAGTTCATTACTTTGTTGATTATGTACGATCCTAAAGCAGTTTCTATAAACGGAAAATAAAACTGCTTTAAATATATTAATTTGCAGATTATGAGTGTACGACTATTTTGTTAGAACATCGGTATGTAATTCTATGTACCGATGTATGTTTGGTATGGAATTCTATGACCGAACATCGGTATGTAATTTTATATACCGAATGTTCTCTCTAACTGTTTTTTTGTCTGTATATTGCAAGAACTGTTTTTATTTTTCTACTTATGTATGAAACTAATTAAAAGTGTTTTTATAAGTATAAAAAAATATTTTATGTCATTGTTAAAATATTGTTTTTCATCATTTTGATTGAATTAATTAATAGAATATTTTCGTTCTATGTTAGAATAAAACATGACAGAATATTAGTCATTATCATTAGTGAGTTAGTTGATAAATACTTGAAATATGGATGAGATTATTGATATTTAGTGGAAGTGTTTCCCAAAAAACCAAATGGCAAAAATCTTTTTTGTAATAATTAGATACTACAATATATACTTGATAAAAAACGACAACAAGCGATAAGTGTCATTTAAATAACAAATATGAAGCTTAAAAAAATATAGACTATAGGTACATATCTAGAAAATGATGAAGAAAAGAGTGTGATCGTTGAAAAAATAACGAATATCAAACAAAAGCTATCTCAACAAGTCTGAAAATTTCTACTAAACTACTAATGGCATAGCTGTCATGAAGGATCGTTGAACAATCAGTCAGTCATCATAGTCTCAATCTCTACGAAAAAGAGCTCAACGCTACAGTAAAACGCATCGCTTGTATCTCATTATATGCTTATGATCATGATAAACTGATGTAATTGAGAACGTATACTTTCTCCTTTTTTAATGATCTATGTATTCATCACCGACCTATCGTTTTTACACACACACATACACACACACACGTATCCTATTGTTTCTGTTTTTTGGTTTAAAAAATAATCTGAATTAAAATGTATGAACAAAAAACACAACCGGAAACGACAATAACATTATCATCATGAAAATACTGTAGCAGGCAATAATTTCATCATACTCGATCGCCATTTAAAGACTATCTACATTCGGAAAGAAGAAAAACATTATTCTTTTTCGCAGTTTTTTTTTCACACAAAAAAAAATTTTTTAGAACAACTGTGTGACAATTTTTACTATTCATTGTAGAGTATTGTTCAATTAAGAAAAATTTTCTTGTTAAAAAAACAACAACAACAACTATTACTGTCATAGACATTCTTTTTTAGTTAGTATCTTTTTAAAATTTTTTGACAGGGACAAAAGTTGTCATAATATTTCCTTATTTCTAATATTATTGTTATTCATATGTCTTTCCTGGATAAATTTTGTAATATAATTCTCTTTCTTTCTCACACATACGCATGCACAATATGCATTTACCACCATTATTATAATTCCGTATTTAATTTAGATTCCGTTTTTCTTCTTCTTTTTTCTTTCTGTTAAAGAGAAAATTAAAATGAAAGAAGAACTTGTTTTTCTATGATAGTGAGAAAGATCTTTTTAGTATGTTTCATAGTTTTCCTTTTTCTTTTTGTTTCTTATTCTCCTTATGTTAAGTGATATTTCAAACAAGTTCAAAATAAACTGCAAGAGGTGTGTCAGAATCAGAACAACATGAAGAAGAATAGAAGAAGAAGAAAAAAAAAATTTTACGTCTATATTTTTTTATTCTTCTATTCTCTGTTTTTTCCTAAGTAGACTATATGACTAGTGTAGATATATCAAAGCTTACAAATTTAGTAAAACTTTATCTTGATAAAATCTCTGACATATATTATTTTTTTCCAGGTACGATTGAACATAAATATGAACATAATCTCTATTTTTGAAGGTGAATTTAACAGGAAAAAAAATAAAAGAGATAAGATATTCTACTTGATATATTTATGTTTTAGAATCTAACAGATATTTAAAATTTATAACATTATTTACACACATCAAAATTACTTTCATTAATAATTTTTTAATTTTTTTAACATTTTCTATGAAAATATAAATTATTTAAAATAATCAAAAAAATTTTTTTATTAAAATTATTTTTTACATTAAATAAAAAGAAGAAAAAATAAATTGAACTTTTCACATTATTACAGTATATCATTTTATCATTTTTTTTTAATGTAAAAATGACTTGAATGAACTTCTTTTTGATTATGTTAAATTTAAACTATGCAAAAACACATACGTCAAAACGTCTGGATTCTAGAATAAATCATATTTTTGTTATATCATTGTCTTTTTTTATTTGATAGATAAGTAAATATCGTACGCATCAGCGAATTCTTTTGACTAATTCTCATTGAATGAATTTTTCTCAAGACTTTTATAGTTGAATTTGAAGAAACAATAGTCACGTTAATAGATTATAAATTTAGAAAAACATGAATACAATTCTGATTATTCATGATTTTAGAAAACTGTTGTTGATGAATAAAAATAGAAATGATGATAAAACTAGAGAACATACAATATTATATGTGTAATACAAAGATTTTTAAATTTAAAATGAACGGAAAAACATTAGAAATAGACATGCTGATAGTTGAACAGTGTGTAATTCAGATGTCTACATTCTAATGAAAAGATAAGTATAAAGATATATTTAACATTTTGAATCAGATAATCTAATTGGGTAAAAAGTATCATGTTTAAAATTAATATATTAATAGATCTCAATATGAACTTTAGTTGGAATGAATCCCATGTCGTTTTTTAATCTTTTTTATTTTAGAATTAATCATGTTTTATATATCAAATATATTAAAAAGAATTTACAAGTAGAAAAATATGAAGCAAAATCAAGATCTAAAATCAACTCCTCTTGGTTCATCAAATATTTTATCTCATTCCACAGGAAATACAAATATGCATGGTGAAAATAGTTGGTCTGTTTATACGGGTCCAATTCATCAAGATCCAATATTAATATCTAGAAATATACCAACAACAATGGACAATAGTGTTCTATCAACAACAGACATACAATCATCTCTTATGGCAACATCTTCAACTCAATCGAATACAATGTTAGCGAACAATATGACAGTTAATAACACCAATGAATCAAACAAAATAAATTATCAATTTAAAGTTATGCTATTAGGAGATTCGGGCGTTGGTAAGTTTAATGTAAAATATATTAAATATTAATTTGATAACACTGATCGAGAATTTTTTTTGTTTTGTTTTTTTTTGTATTCAGGGAAAACATGTTTACTTGTGCGTTTTAAAGATGGCACATTTTTAGCCGGTAGTTTTATAGCAACAGTGGGCATCGACTTTCGAAACAAAATTGTTACATTAGGAGAAAAACAGATTAAATTACAAATATTTGATACGGTAAGTAAAATATGATAAGATGATACGAGGTTAGTACGTACTCAATATTACAAAAGGTGTAATAATAACAAACGACTCTAGAAAAAACATATTAGTGTGCATAGGATACCGTGACATAAATGTTTCATTTCAACATTTTTTTGGAAATAGAGGTGAATTGGTACATTACAATCTCTACTTTCTATTAAATATATTTATCCTTGAAAAATGTTTCTAATTAAAGATGATATAAAACAGAAGTTAGCATAGTCTGGTTATTTTAACAAAAAAAACAGGAGATTAAAAGTACTATCACCATAAATTCCCAAACGTGTTGAACAAATTAAAAAGTATCAATCATACTCTCTATATTCAGGCAGGTCAAGAACGATTTCGTAGTGTAACACATTCGTATTATCGTGATGCCCACGCCTTATTGCTACTTTATGATGTGACAAATTATTCATCATTTGAAAATATAAGTGTTTGGCTAAGTGAAATAAAAGAATTTGCTCATGATGATGTAATTATAATGTTAATTGGAAATAAAATTGATAAATCACAACGTGTAGTATCAAAAGAGGCTGGTGAACGTTTGGCAAGAGATTTTGAAGTCAGCTTTTTGGAAACAAGTGCAAAAACAGGACAAAATGTTGAATTAGCATTTATGGCGTGCGCTCAAGCACTTATTGACAAAGAATCAAGTATTAAAAGTGGAAAAGAATCAATGAATGAAATGATGAAAATGACACCTGGTACCAATGGAAAAGAAGCATCGAAAAGTAGTGGATGGTGTTGTTAATTTACCTTTCCTTTTTATTGTTAATTTACTCATTTATTATTGTTCTCGGTGTCGTTCTTCGTTAAAAAATTCTTTCTTGCTTTCTTGTTGATAATTAGTTTGTGAATATAGCATAAAATAACAAAATGTCTGGAATTAAGTAGCATCTTCATTTTATACCATTATAAGGTGCGCCTAAAGCAAACTTGCAGTGGAATTTTTTTTCGACTTTCTTATAGACCATTCGATAGAGTTTTTTTAGCTGATCATGAATCTGTAGTTGTTAATTTTTTGAAACTTTCTTTTCGTATGGAAAAACTCGAAGGGTATAAAATTTAAAAAAACCCATCAGTTTCAAAAAAAATTCAAATTTTTTTCTCTTTTATTCTTCTAAATTTTCGAAAGTATTCTTTTTAGATTCAACATTAAACACTGAGTATGCGAATTATGCTTGATCGAGGTTGAAATCAAAGATCTATTCAGGATAGACAGCTTGGACTCTCCCTGTAAAAAGTTCCTAAACAATTCTGCAAACCTATCTAGTTTTTTTGTGATGAGATGTAGTCGACTTTTGCACATCATTAGAACCGCCATTAAACGAGCTTTAAAAGTACGGTTCGCTTTTTTTTATTTTGCTTTATTATTGAGAAACTACATTTTTTCTAAATCAGGAACGAAAAAATCAGAATTCTGCCGGTAATTCCCAATTTTTTCATCCGAATTCAACTTTTATGCAATAAAACTATCATATATCAGACTCAGCGTCGCCAACTGAGTCGAATGATATATGTTTCGAAAATTTTCGTTGATTTTCAGTTTTGGGTGAAATTCTCAGTCATTTTTCGACATGAAAATTCGAATAAAACAAAAGTAGACAGATAGGATAAAAAAAAGTACATCATTCAACTCAGTTTGCGATGCTGAGTTCGAATATGAAAGTTTCGAAAAATTAACAACTACAGATTCGTGGTCAGCTCAAAAATTCTACCGAATTGTCTATAATAAAGTCGAAAAAAAACTTCCACTGCAAGTTTGCTTTAGGTTGCCTTACATCATCATAACACACATTGGTTACTTTCATTCAAATCGTCTAAGGAATTCATTTCTTTGATAAATAGTTCAAAAACTAGAAAAATCAAATTTTAGAAGAGAAATGGTAGTCAGCACCAAACTGAAAACTATCGTTTTCTCCTTGTAAAAGTCTGTCGAAAAAGGTATGAATAACAGATGTGTGACAACATGAGAATATAAAATAATAAGATAATCGATTACATTAAACAATGTTAAGAAATTATAATAACAAAAGACAGCTATGCTGCAAATAAAACAGAAAATTATCTTTATTCGATTACATTTTGTTGTTGTTGTTGTTCGCCATTCAATAGCGATAATATTTTCAATTGTAAACATACATTATTTGCACGCTTTAATTCCCAAACAAAATCACGTCCTAAAATTAAAAAAAATTAAAATGACAACATCTTTGATACAATTAAGAAACAAAACTTCATGATACGTACGCAATAAATGATGAATATGTATGAATTGGAGCAGCGTAGAAATCGTATCATTATTCGAATGAACTTGTTTTTCAAGTAATGTACATACTTCTATTTTTCGTTGTATAAGTTCAGCATCTATATATGAGTCAGTTACGAATGTGTCGAATATAAACAGTAAATGAGATTGTAAATTATTATCAATAATGACATAAATGTAAGTTTGTTCAAATGAATTTAATAATAGATAGAGAACAGATGCTTGTAATCGCGTTAAAATTGGATCAAATGTTCTGCAGAATACATAATCATTATGATAGTATAACTAAATACAGAAAATATAAATCAAAAATATGTTGATCTAATAGATGATAACAAACCTGTAATTGATTTGTGTCAGCAAAATACTTTAGAGAATTCCATTTATGATTGAAATTTGTAGTGTTTCGAATCGATGGAATGTTATGTAGAATTATCAAAGATTTAACAAAACTAATAAAATATAAGTCGATAGATAAATCATCCGATTGTATTATCTAAAATATTATCAACATAATGATAACTATTATCTCAGAAAACTGTGCTGATCTACTCCAAAAATATAAAGTTGCTAAACTTACGTTTATTTCAGTTGTTTTCATTTTTGTTGCACTATTATAAAATTCTAACAATTGTTTATCACAAAAACATGAATTTTCTATGGATTTTTGTTTTCCAAAGATACAGTCTACTGCTGTATCGTTAAACCATTGTCGAAGAATTAAGTTTTTATCGTCATCGTTGTCGAAGGGGAGAAATTCTTTCAATGTTGTACGATTAATTGTGTTAATAAACAAAGATCTTGTTGATAATGTATGTTTAGTAATAATTTGACATAAAGATTGACAAGTATCACATAGATCATCATTTAGCGTCAAATCTGTTTCACACAGTTCAGCCGAGTACGAGGATATTGAACGTACTAACTTGGGTGTTTGAAATGTTGATTCATCTTTGTTACCTGTGTCAGATATTGAGAGTTTCGCACATGTTGGACAATATAGACCACTTCTAATAGTCTTTGTCAAACATTTTCTCATTTCATTCACATTTGATGTTTGTTTATCCTCCTTACGTTCGAAATATGTCCCTTGAAGACGTTTTGGTACTTGTACTAATGCTAAAGGGGCGGATAAATATTGATAGAGTATTCTAGTGTATGACTCTGGTAATGAATCAGGTAATATAGGAAGACCCGTGTTATTATCAATAACAGGCGTCAAACGTTTATCACTAGATAATAATTCTTTTAAACTATAACGTTGAATGTATTCGTTTAATAACAGTTCTTTTTCTTCGCGAATCTTTTTAGAATATCGTCGATCAAGATTATGAAAATATTTTAAATTATCTTCAATTACATCACATTGATGTTTTTCAAAAGAATATGAACAACGAACAATTTGTTCCAGAAATAAATCGGGATATTTGTCAAATACGAAGGATGAACGACCAGATTGATTCAAATTTTCGTGAACAATAACACGAAGTTTTTCTAAATAATTTGTTTCAAATAACTCCTGATAAAATCCAATACAGACAACATATGTTTCAGAATTACCCGCCTAAAATAAAATCATAAACAGAAACAATTTTATTCATTTCGTCTCTTTCGTATTTTTACATTATGAAGGCATGATAAAGTGTGCGTATCATACCTTGCTTGTAGCAGGTTTACATATGGTAACCTAAAATAGTTAAATAACACTCGATTGAAATCAACATATTATCATTCAAGAAAAAAAAATTAGCTAACCTGTTCGAAAACGAGATTAATCATGTAGATAAGATCAATAGTTTCTTTTTCAAATATGGTAAACATTTTAAACACAAAATTACCCTTCACTGTCAGACAATTTAAAGCAAGATATATTTCAGTTAATAATAGTGGATAAACAAATAATTCTTGCTCGGCTGGATCATTCTGACAATCTAAACTTCCATCAGCTGTTATCTAAAAATTATAAACAACTTCAAACCCATTTCTATCAAAGAAATAAACTTACAAAATCAATGTTGAGTGGTTTTAATCCTTGTATGTAGTAGAGTAAGTTTTCTAAATTCATAATATCACCACTATTATCTTGTCCAAAATCCCATTTGTCATAGGTATAAAAGAGAAATCGATCATCATCGATTACAGCTGGTTTTATATTGTGCTCATGATAAGGATTCAACGTTTGAGCGAACCACTGCCATTGAACTTTTTGTTTATCTGAAATGGATTAAAAATAACTGATTCTAAAACAAGTGGCGTTGTTCTTGTTTTGAAAATTTACCATGAGTCACAAGATAATGATTGATAGCAGCAATAAATGCTCCGGGTGCTTCACACATATGAAATGTTTTCCATGATGTCTGTTCATTTTCACCAACATTAATCAAATCGAATGTATCCAATATTTCGTAGAATTTAGCCCATGCTTGTGTGCCAAATTCAACATTTAATTTTTGACGAAGATAGGGAACAATGTTTGATGCCCGATTCATGTAATTTGTATGCCTGAAAAACAAAGATTATGGGAGTGGCAGTCTGTTCACTTGTCATAGACTGACACTTTGATATCTTACGTGTAGACATGGATGAGACCAAGGCTTTTCAGTCTCGGCTCTGAAAAAAACTTTTTTAAAATTTTTTTTGAGAGTTTTGTCACCAGAGGTAGCACGTTACTGTTACCAGTAATACGAATATTGTATATATTTCTATTACTAGTAACAGTAATACTGAACAGCATTCCTATTCCCAGCAATAGTAATATTTTCACTGTTACTGTTGTTGGGAATAGGAATATT